ATGCTAAAAGTTGAAAAAACGAGAAAATTTGATGGAAATCAAACTTTGGCCTCGAATAACTCTGGAAGAAATCAATTTATAGAAAAATTATAAGAGAAATTTTTTATAGAGCGTTAAATTTACTATAAAAATATAAGATGTCCCTTGCCATAAGTTGATTCGATATAGACGTATAAAATTCCAAAGTTAAAACAAAAAATTTCCTATGTTATTTAAATGGGAAATAGAAAATTGCGATCCGCGACCTCTAAATCTTTAAATTAAAAGCTCAAATTTTAACGAGGTCTTTGTTTTGACATCCTCTAAAAGAATTTGCTGACCATTTGAAGAAAAAGAAAAAGTCGATTTTTTTGAAACACCCTAATATATATATACATACCTTCGAATTGTTGTAACGACAATCCGGCGAATACGAAAGTTATAAGAAAGGTAGTTAAACAGACAACTGAGGAAATGAATCTAATTATATTTACACATTTATTTCCAAAGGTTGGGTAAACTTCAAAGGAGATTTTAGCCTTAAATAAAAAAAATATTAATTAAGAGTAACCTTATTAATAAAGCAAATAGAATACGCTTAATTTTTAATTAAATTAATAATTTCAAATACTAATTGGGCTATAAAATAAATATAAATGTATTTTTTAAGTATTACAGGGTATCCTCAAATAAAATGCACTTTTTAAATAAACATTGTAAGATAGAATTAGTATACTAATTAGAACTTATAAGTTCTAACATACTTTCAAAAATTTACCTGAAATGTTTTATTAACCAGGCAGACTAATTTTAAAAAAGATATTAAGTTTATAACAAAAACAATGTCCATGCAATTTATAAAATTAACTTACATGTAAACACTGATAGATAAATCCCATTCCAAAAGCAAGCAAAGCTCCAAAAATATGAACCGAAAAAACGTTAGTTTCCTGAAAATTTCCCACTATGCATGTACCAAAAGAAGCTAGAAATCCTATATAAACTGCTGCTTTATTGTATGCAGTTACGAAGTGCTTAAAATTAAATTTTTCACACAGGTAGCGAATTTGTCTATATCTTAAATACATTGTTATAGCCACTAAAATAAAATAGTTTAATAAAAATTAATTTGGAAATTGTAAGGTTTACTTAAGACACTTCCAATATTAAGCATTAAGCCAAATATACAGCTTTCAGGAGCCCAAGTTCCTGTGTCACTAATGTATGGAAAAACAGGCACAACATCGCCATTAAGAACAGCAATGCCATACCTATCATAAATTATTACAAGATCAGCTTCAAATTAGTTTTTATATTCTTCAATGTAATAGTTATTTATGTCATCAGGCCAAGAAGTGAGACTTTTTGTGCTGAGCTCAATGTTTTAAGCGAAGCATAAAAAGATCTTCTTGGGTAAATCAATCACTTTAATGTCGAGTGTTGACAACAATAATGTTTAATTTATTACCGATTGAAGATAATAGTAGATTAGGAGAAGTAGAGATGCGACTTGAAAAAAAACGGTCCGTTTTTTTTGTTTTTTTTTTCAGGTTTTTTTTCATTGTTTTTTTTTTCAAATGGTTTTTTTTTCACATTTTAGGTTTTTTTTCAAGATTAGTCCCATTTGCCTAATTTTTTTATGTTTTTATGGACTAAAATTAGCCACTAAATGACAATTATTAAATGTAAATACAGTCTCGCGTTATGCACTCGCCACAACCACCGATTTGACCAATAAGGGCGGCGCTTGTTTTGATTTGGTCCTAAAAAAGTAACTACATATAATATTTTTGATTCAGCGCCTGATTTTTTAAAAAGCTACCAAAAGCACTTTTTTCATGATTTTTCAAATTTATGTAGAGTATGGAAATTTTTTTCTTTTTAAAAACAATAGCAAATTCTTGTAGAACATTTCTTCATTGGTGGTCAGAACATTCCGTGGACCAAAAAAGAAATAAAAAAAATCGATTTTTATTTTATTTATTCGTTAGAATTGAGCATTACAGAACTTCAAACTTTATATTGCTTTTTTTACGGCTCCAATACGACCATTTTTAACAAATATACAGCTATCCGAAAAATCGCAAAAAAAAATTTTATCGTTTAATTTTTTGTATTAGTGTAGAAGTTTTACATTGCTATTGGTTTTTAATGTGGAAACTACCAAATAATAAAAAAAATTAGTCTTGGTCAAAATTTTAAATAATGAAAAATGTAATATATTCTACATTTTACTCAAAATTTTGAAAAAAAAACAAAAAAAAAACCGTTTTTTTTTAATGTTTTTTTCACATCTGAAAAAAAAACCCTTTTTTACATCTCTAAGGAGAAGTGAGTCTTTTTGTGTCAAGCTCAAAAAATTGCTTCTGAGGTGCTTTGCGCCAACGCAAAGCAATTGAGCGAAGCACCTTCTCCTTCTAACAACATAACCATTTTATCTTCTAACAAAAACTAAAAAACATTAACTTAATATGAATGAAAGTTTGTAAATGACAGTGTACCAATGACAGATGCTTTCTCCGAAGGCCTAGGCCTAGGAAAATAAAATTATTATTGTATAATTTCTAAAGGCTGCACAGAGAAAATAGATGTTTTAATTTAAACAAGAATGTTTGTTTAATTTTATTTATTACATTTAAAAAAATATAAATTTAATTCAAAAACAATTTTTTTAAAATAATAATTATCTGTATTTAAAAGAAAAAAGCAAATTTATTCTGTTTAAATAAAAGTTGACTTTCTTAAATTATAAAAACAATTTACTTCTTTTAAAAAATTAAAAAGTTTAAATTAAATAACAAATTATATTTTTTTAAAAACATGGTTTAATTTAAATTTAAAAAAATTAATTATTTAATTTAACCAAATTATTATTACAAAAAAAATTGTGATTTAATTTAAAGAAGAGGTTTATTTAAACTTTTTTGCTCACGTCGAAGTAGCATGACTTGCATGAATACTTTAGTTCTTATTGGTTGCTGTAAATCACGCGACTGCAGATAGGCAATGGGATTTCCATTTTGTGTGTACATGATTTTAGCGACTCCAATTTAGAGCAGGCTGTTGATGAGTACCTAGTGTGTTGCATTTAATCAATTATAATATAATATTATTTTATACTATGGAGGGCCTTTTAAAGGAATGGGCTGTTGAAAAATTTATTCCTGTTTTTAAAGGTAAGTAATTTAAATAATTAGTTGGAATTTATCATTATTATTTGAGTACCCTGGACACAGTTGCGGTTCGTGGACAGGTGGGTTAAGAAGGCTATAGCCTTCTTGTGTGGTGCATAAATGATTTATTTATGATAAATCCACCATTATAATGGTGGATTTATGCACCACACATTAACATAAGGTTAACATTAAGCTAATTTATATTTTGCCAAATGGTGACATGTATGTAGCGATAAGAAAAAGTGTTTTTGTACCCCAGGAGCATACTAATGATTTTATATGTATTATAATATATTATATTAATAACATATAATATATTATATTATATTAATAACATATTATGTAATAGGTTAATTTATTTACGAAAAAGTATTTTTAAGTTTAGTAGAGTTTAGGGTTTTCTACCTTTATTTATAGGACTGTGTTATGCAATAAAGATTAGTGTTTATTATTAAACATTTTAAATAATTTTTACTCCCTTATATACCAATATATATTACTAGATTAGATGAAACCAATAATTAAAACCATTATTAATTAAAACAATATATCTTTTATTCTAAATAAATAATCTGTTTGACGTAAATAAAAACATTTTTTTAATTTAAAATTTTAAATAAATACATGTTTGTTACTTGGTTTTATTTCATACAAACTAATCATATTTGTTTGAGTTAAATAAATATTTTTTTACATTCAAAAGAACATTTATTTGGTTTTATCGAAATAATATGATATACATAACATTTATTGAATTTAAATAATCTTTTTTCTTTGTGTATGTTGAGGCTAATAATATTTATTATGTTAAAAGATAAATAATAATTATCTACTCCCATGGCATAATATTAGGTGTTTTCGTTTATATAATAATATAAAATCGGTTTTAAAATTGGGAGGTGACTATTATTATTATATTTAAAATTGGTAGAAAGTGAGGTTAACCATCTGACAGATGTCAGTTTTTTTAATTTAATTTTAAAAAACATTTAATTATCCAGTAATTGGAAAACATAGACTCGAGGTTTCACGCAATAATCACTCAAATGATTTGCGTCTAGAGCTCTTATCTGGAGACCCGTGAATAATAGCCTAGATCATGTGTCAGCAACAGGCGGACCGCGGTCCGTATCCGGACCGCGGAAGGTCGAACCCCGGACCGACAAATATTGTTAAATATACCTAGGTAGGTAGGTACCTACCTACATATCGATGACTTTCTGCCAAAGTATCGTAAGCAACATAACTCAAATTTCGGGAATTGAAAACATTTTTATTTTAAAATCTGTTTTAACCCATATATAACCTATAGGTTTTATAACAAGTAAATAGCTATAATTATAAGCTATTTACTTGTTATAAAACCTTTAGGCTATATTTAATTTAAAACAGTCTTTTAGTTATGTTGCTTACGATACTTTGGCAGAAAGTCATCGATATTAATATATAACTAGCCCAGAGCTAGTAGTCCTATACTCATACGTTTCTAAGCCACGTAGATTCTAAGTTAGTATTTATTATAGTTCCCTAAATAAATGAGGTTCCAGTTTGCCTCACATGCAATAAAACTATCGCTAATGTTAAAAGTGATAATTTAAAGCGACACTACGAAACAACTTAAGTGATGATAATTATCAGAAATCCCACAAAAACTTTTTCCCTTGGCGGTGAGGCTCGTAAAAAACTGCAGGCATGTCCTTGCTTCTTACAAAAAAAGCACAAAATTAATATTTTGCTGCATGAGGGAGCAAGAAAAATCCACAGAAGCAGCGTTACGTGTGTGCTGGAAGCTTAATAAACACCAGAAACCATTTTCAGATTCTGAGATAATAAAAGCTCTAATGTATGTTGGAAGTAGCACTATTTAAAGAAAAAAATAATGTTGTCGCTGCAATTCAAAGTATTCCATTGTCGGGAAGAAGTAATACAAGAAGAACCGAAATTTTAGCTGCTGACAACAAAAGCACTCTACTTGAACTTATGCAAAAGGTACCTTGCTACGCCATAGCACTTGATAAATCATGTGACATTGTTGATTATGAACAAACGTCTATTTTCTTGAGATTTTTTGACATTGTAACATGCATAGGTTTATGGTCAGATGTTCAGGCAAGAATTGCTCACAATATTGCCGTTAAAAGGTAACACTCGAGGAGAAGATATATTCAAGGCCATTGATTAATTTATTACTAAATCCAACATTAGTTATGACAAAAAAGGTGTAGTAAAGAGGATCAGGGATAAGAATCCAGGTCTAATATCGTATCAGTGCATAATTCTCCAGACAGCTCTTTGTGGAAAACTTAGTGCTACGCTAAAAAGAAGTAATGGACAGCTTGGTCAAGTTAATTTTATGAGATTTCATTCTGCTCTTCAGCACTGACAGTTCAAGGAGTTTCTTTCTAAATGTGATTTAGCGTATTCTGACTTACTGCAACACAACAATGTTTGTTGGCTAAGTAAAGGTCAAGTTATTGAACGAATCTGGCTAGTAAAAGATAAAGTTACCTCCTTCTTGCAAAAGTTGGATACGCAGGGAGCAAGAAAGCACTTGGTGTTCATAACAAACGAGCTCAATATGCTAGCTGTGGCTTTTCTGAAAGATATTCTATTTAACTATTTAAATGCCTTAACACAGAGTTAAAAGGAAATGGGAAATTAATATGTGATCTATAGATTATTATAATACAAAGCGTGTCTGCTTTTAGTCGCAAGCTGGATATCTTTAAAAAAAATATTGCAAGACAAGAACTTATTCATTTCCCAACAATTCTTGAATATAAAAAGGAGAACACTGAAGAAGAAAAGTGTTTTTAATATTTCTGTCCGATATTAGGAACGAATTTTCTACAAGATTCCAAGACTTTGGAAAGGCGGAGAAGTTGTCTCAATTCCTTAAATCGCCTTATGAAGTGGGTGCATCGGCAGAATGGACTGATGTGGCTGCTAAGTTGTTCAGTCCTTCACTTCAAATAAAAATAATTGATTTGCAAGAAGGTATTTCCTTGAAAATGTTTAAAACTGCATCGACTGAAGAATTTTGGGGTGAACATATTTGAGAAAAGTTTGAAAATTGCAAGAAACTAGCTATCAATCTGGCTACTATGTTTGGCTCGACATATGTATGCTCTCTTAAAATGAATTAGTCAAAAATAACTAATTATAAGTCATATTTGACTATTTGTCATAGTGAAAAAGCAGTCACTAATAATTAGTCAAATTCCACTGAATGAAATAGTCAAATTAGTAAATTTAAATTTAAAAAAAGTTTTGAACCAGCCTGGGATTGAACTCAGGTCTGTCACTTGACAAGTTTGTCAAGCTAACCTCTTAACGCATTCGGCTGTCAGCCGCTCTTATAAAAATTAATTTTATTTGTCAATAAATATTGTTCATAATATTTTAAAGTTTAATATATTATTTGTGTTGCTATTTTGAGCTAAACTTTTTGCATCTTTATTTGCTTTATGGGTCATTTAACCATGGAGAGGTATATGCATTTAATTCAAATAATACTTTGTTGTTGGCCGTAAACGACTAAAGAAATTAGTTACTTTTAACTGTCAGAAATAGTCAAATATGGTGACTAATCTTAAATTAATCAAACTTTTTACATAGTAAAAAATAACTATTTAAAAGTGAAAACGACTATTTTATTAGTAAAAAATGCTGGTACTAATTCAAATAGTAGAATTTTGACTATTTCATTTTTAGAGAGTGAGAATCATCTTTCTTAAAAATAAATGTTTTGAAGAACAATTATCGTTCAAGATTAACGAATGCCCACCTTAAAGACACACTTCACATTTGCTGTTCTCTTCGTGAACCAAACTATAAAAAACTGTCTCAAAAACCGTCGGTGTAATTTATCACCCTAATGTTACTTATTTTGTTTTATAATTTAAATAACTTAATTTGAAAGTAAAAAATAGTAGATACTAAATCATTATCAGTTTTTTTTCTGGACCTCGATAAATCTTTCAACAGTATCCGGACCCCACTTAAAATTACTTGCCGACCCCTGGCCTAGATTATTTATTGTATAATAAAAGGTATAATATACATTGTATATGTATATATACTATTTTCTACTCTTATTGTATAATATAAAGCTAGCCTCCACCGTATACCGTATAATTGCTTATAGGCAGTCCGCGTCGTGTCCGGTCGGCCGCGGTCGTGAGAGCTTTAATGAATGGATTTGTATTGCAACGGAAACATCGGACGTCTAGCCTCCTCTATGACGTATTTCAATATATATAGTCCGATAATAAATCCCCGCATCAGTAATTTCATTTATTACGAAAAGATAATATTATTTGCAAAACTCTCTTTGCTATTTGGTTTAATTTTCAGGAGCAACAAAAAACTTTTTAGCTTGAACGCAAAATATTTTTTGGGTTCAATTTATTTTTCTTTTTAATAAATTATAAGAATGACTAATAAATATCATAATCGTACATATGAATATATATATATATATATGAAAAAAATAGAGAAGTTTGAAAAGAAAAAGGTAAACACAGTGAAATTAAACGTTAATTTATTAAACAAACAACAAAAATTAGTATGCAAACTAAAAAAACTTAAATAATTTTAGTGTCGTTTACGTTTTGAACCACGTCTTGATCATCTTCAGTTTTTTTTTTAATTTTAGCAGCTTGATCTTGAATATTTTGTAGAAGGCTTATTCTGGTAGTTTTATCCAATCTTCACCATAATGTATAACCAGCAAACCAATAATGGAAGTTTTATCCCCTTTAGTTTTTGCAAATAACTGATAACTTTTTAACCGATTTTATATAGCAAAAAAGCAATTTCTAAAATTTAAAAGGTGGCAATACATTCCTTATAAAAAATCCAACAAAATTAGCAAAAAAAATGAATTTTGATTATTTTGTCGATTAGAATAATGGCCTCATATAAATTTAAAATAATAATTATTATGATTAAAAATGTAATTAAAATTTTATTGGGGTTTTAAAGTTCATTTTTAACAAGGTAAGTATGTTTTATATATATATTTTTTTGTCTATTTAAATTATACCTACTTCATTGCTATTTTATATTTTCATTGATACTATAGTATACTTTCGGTGTATCTAGAGTTCTAGATCCTACAGGATCTATTGTAGTTAGTCTAAAAAAGGGGCTATAGCCCCTTTTTTAGACTAACTACAATAAATGTAGTTAGCAAGTCTATAATCTAAAATCTAGAAAAAATATATAAAAAATACCTTGTTAAAAATGGACAAATTATTAAAGTTTTAATACAAAATTGTTTATTTTTAATTTTTTTTACCTAGATTAGACAATTAAATTTTTTTAAGTTTATTTAATAATTTCACTTTTGGAAAAAACTTATTGTTTTTGACTTTGGGGCAAGCGAGATAAGTTTTTATTTATTTTCTCCAAAATAAATATAATTAAATATTTTTTTTTATTGTTCAACTTAGAGAATACCTATGAGGCGCCGTTTGTCCGTAAATTATTTTTGCTATATATAAGAATATTTTTTATATATAAACTTTAAATTTCCTATATATATATATATATATATATATATATATATATATATATATAGAAACTTTTTAGTTCAGATAATGCCGCTTGAGAATGAGGGCGCTTTGTTGTATTCAACTAAAAAGCACTGTTGCCAGAGTGTGCCAATGCAAAGTTTTGGTCAGTGTTTCCAACATAACGGATTTTCGGCCAGATCTAGCGGAACAAAATGATAGCAAAAAGTATAGGATTTTAGTTTTTTTTAAATACTTATAGGTAATATATTGGTCGGTTAGTCTATTTTTATTGAAGAAAACATTTCTCTTCTTTGGTCGCCTCTATTTCTCTAAATACACACGGCTTCGGTTTTACTAATTGGTATTTAAAAAAACTAAAATTTCTTACGTATTGCTTCTCTTGTCAATTTAAAAAAAAAGAATTAAAAAAAAAACTTGGACTCTTACAAATTAAATTATATAGGTACAAATCTTATGACAAATACCATTCGATATTATGTTCAATTTTCCGTTAAAAAATTTGTCAGCCGTAAGAGTATCTTTTTTTCCTCGACCTTTATTAAAATCTGCTAGATCTGGCGAAACGTTATGTTGGAAACACTGACGAAAACTTTGCATTGGCACACTCTGGCAACAGTGCTTTTTAGTTGAAAACCGCAAAGCGCCCTCATTCTCAAGCGGCATTATCTGAACTAAAAAGTTTCTATATAATATAGGAAATTTAAAGTTTATGTATAAAAAATATTCTTATATATAGCAAAAATAATTTACGGACAAACGGCGCCTCATAAATAGCACCAAATTTGTATAAAGTTTTTCAAAAACAAAGAACGTAAACTTAATTAAGTGTAACGGTTACTTAAGTTAATTAACCAAATAGGACATAGGTACGTTTACATGAACTTTTCCAATGAAATACGACAAGAAATCACCAGCTGAAATTAAAGTCATTCTTTATGTTACACACTGTATATAATAAAAAAATCCCAAATTTCAGTAAAAACCTTTAAAACCCTTTTGTTCAATATAAATATTAATACAATTATGGATATATGTAAAGCCTTTGATTCTGTATGGCACTAATGGCACTATGGGTTGCTGAAAAAACTGGTAACATTGGAATGTCCGGAATATCTGATATGGTTGATAAAGGAATTTCTCACACAAAGAAAATTACAAGATAAAATTGGCAACAAATTATCCTCGTCCTTCTCACCAGAACAAGGAGTAGCGCAAGGATCACCGTTGTCACCAATTTTATATAACTTATATTGTTATGACATGTACAACCCCAATCCCCTGTACATAAACGGCCAGAGCTATATTCTGCAATTTGCTGATGATACAGTTCTAATAACCCATGGCAAAACGACAACAGCTGTTGTCTAGAAGCAAGTGTTAAACTACAGTAACTAACCGACCAGGTATCAGCATGGATGTCCAAGTGGAGAATTCTGCCTAGCCCATCAAAATTACACCTTTTACTGTTTCACCACAAAATTAAAGCAAATTCACCCACTATCAACATCATGCAAAGTACAGTCAACATCATGTCGTTACCTGGGAATTACAATAGACACCAAGCTAAGCTTCAAACAACATACTAGCAAGACCAAAACAAGTATTGTAAATAGGGCAAAACAATTTAGAAGGCTTACTTATAAAGACCAGGGCATAAATTTTAAAACGGCTGCATCCATTTATAAACTAATCTGTCGGCCAGTGTTGGAATATGGATCTGCACTCTTTCAAAATTGCAGAAAACTGACCCTCTCCAACATCGAGATAGGAGAACGCACAAGTCTAAGGAAAATTACAAAAATCCGACACCCCCAAAACCCTTTATTTAACCCATCCAATGAATCCCTTTACCGTATCACTAAAGTCCAACACATCCAAACAAGACTGGTATACCTTGCACAAAAATTTGCAAATAAAGATCATAACTTCACTGTGCTGGAACCTTTGATATACCAAACAAATCCTGAAAACACCCAAAAGAGAAAATACCCTGATAGGCCACTGTATGACACACTGAAGCTATGGGCAGAAGAATAGCAGCTTCCACTGATTTGTTTTTGTAATTCTTTTTTTTTGGAAACAAATATCAGAATATTTTAAATATTATAAATGTGTTGTAAATGAATATTTATTGTAAATAGGTCGTTAGCTTTTTGAAGTAATCCAATAGTTTATTTTATTATTATTATTAAAATTAAATAAAATTAATTAACCTATATATATATAACATGCAGGGTGTCCCATAACTCGCGCCACAAAGAAAAAGGTGGCTTGCTGATAGCAATTGAGATAGCAAATTTAAAAATTTCTAGGTAATAGTGTAATGATAACACTGTAATCAAATGAAAGCAAAAAAGCGGCAGCCAATACCAATAATTCTCGCCTAGGTTAAACGTAGAAGCTTTAAAAATTGCTAGGAGATGATGGAAGTTCCTCCATGGAACATTGCTGGAATGTCATATTTCAGGACGCCAATGTTTTAAAGTAAAAATTAAACAACTAGTTCTGTACCCCAGACCCAAAATCAAACACTATAGAATTCCACTCTAGCGGGATTAAGTTCAGGCTACACTCGCGTAAAATGAACGTCCTTCATAACTCGCTGAACTGTGAACGTTCGCGAGCAACTTCCCTTATGCTCTTCCTACTATTTGCATCAACGGCATTGAAAATGGCTTCTTTATTTTTCGCTGTTCTAATACGTTAAGAAGCACCTTCAATTTCGTTACAACGCAGAACAACTTTACAGTCCATGGGATAATCGGGAAAGCGCTGGGAAAAAACTCGTGCTGCCTCCCTAGAACTGCGCCCATACTCCCCATAAATAATCATCATTTCGGCATAATCAGAGAAGGAAAACATAACTTAAAATAATAATTACAGGAACAAAAATTGACATCAGTGTCACAATCCTAGGGTCACAATGTAGTAGATTCCAGTCAACCAAATATTTTACATATTATATTATCAACAATGCATCCTAAGTATCCTAGCAATTTAAAGAATTCCATATGCCCATGTATTGGGATTGGCTATCGTTTTTTATTCTTATCTCGCCTATCCTTTGCGTTATATAATTTTAATTTTCAATTATGTGTTTCGCATAACTTTCGGCACGTTTCCTTTTACTGTGTGGCGCGACTTCTGGGACACTCTGTATATATATATATATATATATTATATTTTATTCTGCATTATTTACAAAAAAAATCCAAGTAATGTCAATAATATGCAATAGGAGTAGAAAAATATTATAATTTTCTAAATCGTTTTCTTAAATTTTAATCTGTGTAAGTATAGCAAAATTATATTTACTAAATTGTAGTTTTAATAACGTATTAGTCACTTACGTTAATAAAAATGTGAAAATAAACCACGTTCCAGCAATTATAGGAAAAATGTAAGCATGCTCGAAAACCATAGTTTTGCGTGTTCACTTGGTCGAACTGGGAAAACAACTACATCACCCCAAAGCGACAGACGAAAATAAACATGTCATTTACTGTCTAATTCAAAATCTATAATTTCCTGAAATATATTGATTATATGTATGCATTATTACATATATGTATGTATACATTATATATTATAATACCTATATATGAATATAAAATTATATAATAATAATAATACTTTATTAATCCAACAGACAACAGTCCATATAAAGGATATAAATTATTTAGGTTACAGTGACAAATTACAGATATAGGTTGATAAATTTAAAATAGCTAATTAGGACAAAATACCATAAACAAAACAACTTAGGATAATGAGCGAATATTTCGAACAAATGAATTTAAATTTTGGTTAAATATATCACAATTATTCAAAATTTGGTTATAAGTTCTACACATCGACGTCAATGGAGCATGCATGTGCTGGTTGTTTGTTTAAGCATTTAAATAAAAAGTTGGACAAAATCTTGCATTTACTCTAGGCACGTGAATATTGATTTTTAGTAGTTGTTCAGGGTCCAATATTAACCCATTAATTAGCTTATATAAATAAATTAATCCTGCATTTCGAAGACGCATTTTAAGACTTTCCATATTAAGGTAAAAAAGTGCAGTTTCATAACCAAAATCTATTAAAGGATAATAGCCATTAATCTTAAAAAACAAGTATTTACAAAATCTCTTTTGAACTCTTTCAATATTATCATTATGAACAAAGTAAAATGGTGACCAAATAACACATGCATACTCAAATTTACTTCGAACAAATGCAAAAAATAAACATTTTATAGCGTAAATATTAGTAAAGTGTTTAGAGTTTCTAATCACAAACCCCAACATTATATTTGCAGATGCAACTGTATTGTTAATGTGTTGAACAAATGAAAGTTTACCACCAAACAGAACACCCAAATCCCGCATTGTATCCACTCTTTCAACTTTTTCCGAACCAATTGCATACTGAAATGTTATGCTGTTGATTTTTCTTGAAAATGTCATGACATTACATTTCTTTATATTTAATAAAAGCCGATTTCCTACACACCACGCATCCAATACACTCGTATTAATTGAAAGTTCTTTTACAAAACCATGCTGAGCTGGGTTTAATTGAGGTGATATATGGCAATAGATATATTTTGTTAAAATAGTTTCAAATAACTTTGCAAAATTACAGATAATGGCAATTGGTCGATAATTTTCAATGCAATCCTTATTACCTGACTTAAATATTGGGCAAATACGTGCAATTTTCCATTGATTTGGAAAATCATTTGTTTTAACTATACGATTATAAATATGACAAAGTGGTATTGGGGTTAAAATAAAAAGGAAAACATTTAAATGTTTTAGGGTTAATTCATAGATGTCCGATAACATAATAAATATAATAATAATAAAATAATAATAATAACAATAAAATAAAATGGATTCTGTCAATATGGTTAAAAAGTACTATAGGGTTATAATTATTATTGATTATTATTATTATTATTTATTATTTATTTTTATGCATTATTTTGAATAAAAGTTTTTTTATTTCATACTGTACTTTAATGTGCTATTTCCCGGACTCATTTGAGTCCGGGAAATGATACATTACATCACTAGGCCGGTAAAGTTACTTTACCGGACTCGTATATTTTAACTAACACATGGTTATTTCTGAACGATTATAAGTTTTTGCGCCATTTACAGAATATCTCGTATTCCTTTTGATATCGTCCGGAAGACTTGACCGGGATAAGTTTTGCCGTCGCTTCAGAACTTTTTTTCAAAATCTCTGCATCCATTTTATTCGAAATTATTCAAAACCACAGATTCAAAACGATGCTGAACTGACAGACAAGACAATCAATAAAAAAACTCTTTGTTACTGTTAGCAACCGATTTAAAGCATACTACATTATCACCCTATATTACTGGTGCTACATTTTATAGTTTGTTTAGACAATACTGATACCATCATGTACTGACACATTACTGACACCTTCACCTGAATATACAGTTCAATTTTTGTACCAAAAATTTGAAAAAAATATTGAATAGTATGAAATAAAACATTGTACGATACACGGCCGTGAAATGTCATTAAAGTACTTGTCTAGAAATTCCAGACTCGGCTTCTCGCCTCGTCCGTAAACATCTGTACTCGTACTTTAATAAGCCATTTCCCGGCCTTGTAACGTAAATTACTATTTAATTTTAGCCCATTTTGCTCAAATATTCCTATGTAACATACTGTAATGGTCCAATACTTTAATACGTTTAACAAATTTATTTTTGAATAAGTTTGGAATTTCTAAATTTTGTTGTAAAATGTAAAAAGCTTTGTAAAAGAGGTAAAAAGGGATACTTACACTGAAAGAAATTTGTTGCTAAAAGTAAATACAAATTTATACTAAAAATTTTATACTAGTGCTTTACACATTTATACTACTGTTTATTATGAATGTATGTTAAATTTTGTAATACATTTATTGTAAAGAAGATATGTTAGATCTAAATAAAAATAAACTTACCCTTACTATAAAATGTAAACTATAAGTGAATTACAGCAAAAAAATATTGCTAAAAACACCATTTATATTGCTAGGGCAGCAATAGGCTGCTAACCAAACGAATATATTTGTTTTAGCAATGTATGTGGTAGTCCATTTATGAAACATAAAATATATTTGCCCTAATTATGTTTTTATTTAACTTTAGTATATATTTCTTTCAGTGTAGGTAAAGAAATTAAAAGGTTTTTGAACTTGGCCTATAGGCCTATAAAAGTATGGTTTCCAGATAATGCAAGAAGCGATGGTCCAGGTACACGAAGCGAGTATAAAATTTTATTTTAAAAATCCAAATATTACAGATTTTATAAAATCTGTAATATTTGGATTTTTAAAATAAAATTTTGTCGATAAATTATAGTAGCCCCTTTGTCTTTGCTTAAATTAAATCAGGAGTTTTAAATTAACTGTTTAGAAGATATGCTCTTAAGCAACATATAGTAGTGAATTATAAATTTAATTTGAATTATTTCAAATAGGGGGGCCAGAAGGCGGGTGTGGCGATAGGAAAAACTAACTTTTTTTCGCAAATTTAAATTTTGTTTGCGCCGAACTTGTCTATTTAATGTCATTATAAACTATTATAAATTGGGTGTGGGTCTCATGTCTAATAACTGAGATAGTGGTATACCCAAAATCCACCAGCCGCGGCTAGCCGCCACTATGATACACTTTTATCATAAGTCTTAGTCCTATATTAGTTATATGGGATTAAAAGAGCTCGGCTGTAGGAATCTAAATCTTTTTTTTTTGTTTTTTGAATCTGTGACTAACAGGCCTTAATCCATAAAATCAAAAAGATGTAGAAAAAACGGGTAGTTCTTGGTAAAAATAAAAGGTTTATGATAATATATTCAAAGAAAGAGCTTGGCTTCAATGTTAGTCTTTTTTTGTTTTTTGAATCTGAGACTCGCAGGGCCTTAAATGCTGCAAAAATGCTCCTATTATGTCTTAAAGACACGAAAAATTGACCTTCTAAAAGCACTAAAACTTTTGTAAAGAATGATCAATTTTTTGTCAACATTAGGGCATTTAACGTAATTGAAAATTGTATTGAACACCTTAATTTTGTCACTTATTTAAAATATATTTTATATTATCACGCATATTTATTTCGTTATCAGTTATTTTAAACCCAGTTAACATTATTTTCATAACAACGATGTTACTCAGGCCTCGTTAAAAATTTCATGTTTCGTTATCGTATAGGTAAACTGATTATTTAAGCATTGAAATTAATAGATAAAGTTCGCTAACATTTAGGTTATTAAAAATTGGTGAATCAATCGGCAAACTTGTCTTGTAATGCGGCATTTAAACTTTAGACTGCATTACTGGCCTATTTTGACAACGGTATGGGTGATTATAACATATATTACTTCGTAAGTAATTTTTATATTTGTTTTTTTATGAATTATTTATATCTACATTAGTTGATGTTTTATAACATAAAATAATCTAATACTCGTATATACGAGGTGTGTTCAGAAAATAACGGGAATTGTTAAATTTCGCGGGTGCAGAGGGTCCGGTTTTCATAAAATTTTCTTTATTATGTTGGTATACATGCCCCCGAAGTTTGATGAAAACTTTAGCTGTTTTCATTGTTTACTTTGTCTAGGTTAGACGTGTTTTATGAGCTCGGTGATTTTTGTTCGTTAAAAGAAATGCATCAAAGAATTTGTATCCAATTTTGTTTAAAATATTAAATAATTTCTGTGAAATGTTAACAAAGGCCTATTGAGTCTGCTATAAGTAAAACAAGAGAAGAAGAAGACGTTGAAGATGACGAACGCCCCGAATGCACAAGCACATTAACAACCGATAAAAACATGGAAAATGTGGAAGAAATGGTTATAAACCATCAGAGAAGTCGCTGATGATGTTGGGATATCGATTGGCTCATCCCATGAAATTTTTTCGAATGTTTTGGGTATGAAACTCATGGCAGCAAAATTTGTTTCAAAATTGATAAATTTTGAACAAAATTTTTTGCCAAAAACAATACTGTAATGATGCCCCAGCCTCTATATTCGCCAGACATGCCTTTGTCTGACTTTTTCCTATTCTCAAAAATAAAGAGAACCTTAAAGGGCCGTCGTTTTGCAAACAAAGATGACATTAAAAGCGCATCGCTGAAAGAACTAAAGGCTATCCCAAAGATCGAGTTTTAGAAGTGTTTCGAGTATTGGAAGAAGAGTTAGCACATGTGCATAATATCCAATGAGGACTATTTTGAAGGCGACAACATTAATGTAGACGAATAAATAAATATTTGTTTCAAAAAACGAAAATTCCCGATATTTTCTGAACACACCTCGTATAAAGAAACATTATTGTAAATACATATTTAATATCTTAATATAATACAAACATTTCAACCCAAGTTTCCCACCTAAAAATTTTAACCAAATTTGGTAGGCTGATTAAATTATCCAACTATAGTTGGTAGTTGTAAATACATATTTAATATCTTAATATAATACAAACATTTCAACCCAAGTTTCCCACCTAAAAATTTTAACCAAATTTGGTAGGCTGATTAAATTATAAAACTAGTTAGTAGTTGGTAAGGGCTTAAAGATTAAACTTTTTTCTGGATCGATAATTGTTAAATAATGAATGACTCTTAAGTAATTTACTTTACGATAAATTGACTAAGTAAAAAATTAATTTTTTCTACTCCTATTACGGAATTTGACCCTTCTAATATCACTTTTATCTATAGATATTTGAAATGACATATATTCCGTAAAGTGTTACAGAATGAAATATTCTATCATCTGATGACAGAATAAACACTCGTGGCGACATCTCTGTTTTTGATATCTAACAAATTTTAGACCGATCCAACCTCACTTTCTTCCAATTAAGTTATTTTTCTATTGTATTTTTTGGAAACGTATAAAAAGTATAGTCTGAAACACGTTTGGAATTGCATATTCCGCTCTCGTGAAACCGTCAAACTCGCCTTCGGCCCGTGTGACAAACTCTTCACTCGAGCGGAATATGCTGTATTCCAAACTTGTTACAGAATATACTATTACAGAGAAAATCCACATTAAGAAATTTTTTTACTATTTTTGGGACACGACAATTTGAAACTTTCGAAAGCTAGCTAGATAAATTTTAAAATAGTGACGGAAATTAGTAAATGGTGAAAAATGAACGCCATGGCGTGAATTAAAAATATTACTTAATATTTGTGCTTAACACGGTAGTGCAATCTTTGAAACATCTTCTTCAGAACAAAAAAATTAAGTAATAAAAGAGAAAAGTAATTTTATTTCGTTTATAAAAATAAAAAATATTTTTTGTTTGATCTCACCTTTTCATCTTCTGTTCAAAAATTATTAAAATTAAGTTGGAATGTTTTTATTTTATATATTCTTTGAGGGCGCATTTTGGGAAATTAATTTTAATTATACCGGATGTCTCAATAAAGTGGGATGTTATAATTAGATTTTTTTAATTATATGCTATATTAGGGTTATAAACATATCCCTAAGATTTAACTGAAATTGGTTTGAAGATTTTAGAGGTACTCTCATCGTGCGCATGGCATTCTTGATCAGCCTATTTTATCTTTTAAAAATTTCTGTCCTAGTTATTTATTTTCCACAATATACAAAAATCACGCTTTCTGCCTAGCTAACTTTCGAAAATTTCCAAATGGTCCCAAAGTCCTGAAAATCGCAAAAAGAATTTTTGCTGTGGATTTTTTTCCTTTAAATAAAATCAAAACCTTTGGAGTAGCCATTAGCAATCAAGCTTACCGACCCTTCTTTTACACACATAATGTTGTTGGATAGTTTAATGATTTTACCAAGATTATAAGTACAAATTGTATACCTAAATATTGATGTACAATGTACAATGTACATATGAGGTTTTTCAGCCTAAAAAATTATAATTTAATTATACATAATCACTACACAAGGCATAAAACATTCTAGCCATTAAAATTACATTCTTTTGGGCATATTTAGAGGAGAAGGTGTATATATTGAATATTATTTTGTTTTTATACTGCAATTGCTTTTAAAACTGAGAAAATAAAACTCAAAATCTATTAGAAGTTTACAAAAGTTTATATACAAAAGTGCTCTTTTAGTTCCACCCTTACTTCTTAAGGAGTCCCAGAAGCCAACTGAATGGCTTAAGCGGGTTAGGGGTAGGAACGGACCGCGGGATAAAGTCCCCTCCGAAGGACTATTACACAATAGGACAAACACAAATAAACAGCCATACCCCTGGTGGGATTCGAACCCACGACCTCCGGCTTGTAGTCAGCAGCACTAACCACTAGTCCACCGTCGGCGATGTGAACTTAACCAATTAAGAATAAAAATCTTTAGCTAAACAAATTAAAACTCTGTCGCATTAAAAAAAAATTAATTTTGCAAAAAATAGGGGAGAAGTATAGGTATTCCATATTGCATGCATATTCCAAATTTAAAACTTCTCCTCTAATAATAATAATAATAAGATTAGAAAAAATAAATTTAAAAATAATAAAAATTAGATACTTAATACAGGGTTATACAGGGTAGCAAACAAATTTTTAAATTTACAGTTCAGAAACTCTCCTACGGAGTAAAAACAATGAGTTAAAGGAAGTTCTCTAACCTTAAGTTAGATTTTTTATTGAAAATTTGTTAAGTTGTCTGGAAAATGATTATACAATTTACAATATACAGTATTTTTTATAGATTTGGTTAATCTTGATGTGGTAGACTTTAATTTATTAGCATTTCTAGTTTTATGCTCATGAAAAAGGAAGTTAGGTGTATAACGAGGTAGATTATTATGAACCTCCACAAATTAGTAGAGAATGTATAAACATGGTAGAGGTACGATTTTTAATATTCTGAAAGGGGGCTGGCATATTTTATCAAGTTTTACATTAGCCAGTTTGCGAATAACTCTCTTCTGTAGGCGAAAATTTTTTATGGCATTTGTAGAGTTGTCCCATAAAATGACAACATAGCTCAGATGCGAGTTAAATAAAGAAAAATAGCATGTTCTTAGAATCTTGAAAGACACTGTGAATAATAATTATATCCTACATATTCAGGCCAACATAAGTCGTTAACTTTAGCCACTAGATCAGTGGTTATCGGCCAATCCGGCCAATCAGGTCGATTAAATATAAGGATAACCACTAATTCTAGTGGCTAACGTTAGTGAATTGGCCCGATTGTTATATATAGTTATATATGACAAATATAGAACTGTAAAGTTTCTTACTAAGTTGGTCCAGTTTAAGTTATCGTCTAGTATTAGGCTCAACAGTTTGATATGATGTGGAAGACTTTTGTAGCCTTATAATATATTGTAAACGTAATCAATTTAAATAAATGCCTAGCGAAGCTAGGTGGGCTTGGTCAGTGCCTAAGCCCATTTTTGCGCCCAGGCTCTTGTAAACGTAATCAATTAAATAAATGCCTAGCAAAAATAGGCTCAGGCACTGACCACTTGGCATTCATTTAAATTGATTGGATTTACAATTACCATAAGATAAATAAATAAAGCGCATTTTTTTACTCGTTTTTAGCAATTTTGTGCCTGAAAAATAAATCTGCGGGTAATCATTTAAAAGATTTGACATTTCTACGCCGAATGAGACCAACCCGAAAGGGGAGAAATTATGTTTTTTACCAATTAAAAAAAAATTCTCCTTGTACTAAAAATTGCCTGCTGTCTCTTTTATTTAAATTGACTTGAAATTTTTAACAGGCCATTTGTGTGGTCTAAAATAATAAAGTCGAAAATCTTTGTAATGGAGAGTAAATTCGTTAATTTAGGTAAACCAACCAAAAATACTGTCATCATTTTCGGATTCATCAAACATGAAAACTCATTTTAAAGGCAAAATGTATTGATAAAAAATACACGATTGTATCAATAAAATTGTAAATTTACACCTGATGATGCAACTATACAAGAAAATGGCGAACTACACCAAACTATGTTGTATAAAAGGTTAATTTGTGAATAAACACACCCTGTATAGGAAATACTACAAAGGGTAAAAGTATCCCAACTATATATGGTATAATAATGATTGTATTACCCTCTAGATTTTAATAACAAATTTTATCCCTTCCTTTTGTTATTTTAAAACATCGTCAGCAAAATTTCATTCTCTAAAAAGTTCGAAAATTTCACATCTATAGGTTTTATTTTTTTTATATTTTTTAGATACGCTTTAGCTGTAACAAAGAAAGATGTTTCGGCAATGTTTCCATATATAAGTGATACAGGGGCAAAGCCTGTAGAAAGCTGTATTTTTGGTCAAATGCTTAATATGGGAGCCATGTTTAGTAAGGGTAATTTCATATCAAATCAACCAAAGGTTTTAAAGTAATTTTCGATTTTGAAGAATTTTGGTGAAGTTGCTCTTCCCATTGAAAAAAAGTTTTCTAAATTTCTCAAAAACACCATTTTTAATTTTTTTTTAAATCTTGTTTATCAATGTTTTAGCTACTTATTTACCAAAATTTAGAATGCAGAAATATCCTTACATAGCAAAAAATAACGGTTTTATTTTAAAAATAAAATATTGTTGCAAGGCTGTAAAACATTTCCAATGCCTTTATTTTTAAGACCGTCGATATACGTGAATATTTTGCATTGTACATATTTGTTATATATAATCCTGAATATATGCAGGATTTTTCTTAAATATACCAACCTAGAGGTGGCAGAAAAGGCTGGAATTTTTATAAACAAAAGAAAAGAGGTGTCTCAAGCATAGAATAAATAAATTTTGGGTAAAATATTGATTTTTATGGTCCAAATACTAAAATTCCCTATAATGAGTTATTTTTAATTTTTTTGTGTTTCTAAGGTTTTAATTTTTTTAAACTGAACTTTTCATTTCTCCATTCTGAAATTTGGTAACTATTATATACTATTATACTTTATACTATATATTTTTTTAAATTAAAAATGGTGTTTTTGAGAAATTTCCTAAAGATTTTTTTTTCAAAAATTCTCATTTTTTTAAGAAAATGTACATCAGGTGATACATTATCTGAAAGGGCTTCAAAAGACCTTTAAAACAAGCTATGCTCTGTGATAAGCAGTTCCTGAGATATTTCTGTTGTTTTAAGAGCCTGCAGAGACAAACTTGGAAAATTCTTGATTTTTAAAAATCCATAAAAGAAAAACTCCCGTTCAAAAAAATTTAAAAAATTGGTTTTTTGAGTTTTTTAGGATGTAGAACAACTACCTTAAATAATCAAAAGCGGAGTTTTTGAAAACAAAATTTACCTTTTTTTTGGTTGATTTGATATGAAATTACCAGTAAGTAATATTATGCATGTACTTAAAACATACTAATATCTTAATTTTTAGTGTTTATTTGTATGTTTATTAGACACAAATATATAGAGATGATTTTCAAAAATGAAAAAAACTACTCGCCCAAAATATTGTTGATAAATAAGTGGTCATTTTTATTTGGTCTTCTCGGATGTTTTGGAATGACTATTGTAGCAAACTTTCAAGAAACTGCAAATCTTACCACTCACTTTTTTGGAGCATCTTTAACGTTTTTAATAGGATCAGTACACTTTATACTACAGGTAAAATAGTTTTTTAATTAAAGTTTATTCAATTTCAAAGACAATTTGGACCATGAACGGATTTCACAATATTAAGTTAACAATTGTTAAATTGGTATAAATAGAGTATGTATATCATAGACCATACTTTCCTAAAACCACAGGAAAGTAGGCCAAGAGGAGTTATATCGTAACTTCTTGGTGGTTAATTTAGGTCACCAAAATATTTTACAAAATTCCTAAAAAAATATCCGTGAACATCAATTATTTTTAATTAATGTTTATTTAGGTTGAAAAATTAATTTTCTTACTACCTCGACTCAAAATACGTTGTTTCGTCCCCGATTCCACGGCAGAAAGTTTACGTTTCTTGCATTGGTCAAGCAATACGCGCACACTCTAATAGCGGGAGTAAAAATTTTTAAGTCGTGTGCTTAACATTCAAATTTCGTATTGCCAACATGAGAAACACAAAAATATGACAGTTTTAAACCATAATTTTGCAATAATAACAACAAATAAACAATTTATGTTTTTACTTTTTTACTTTTTATGTTGTTTTAAGTGTTTAATGGTACTTTTATTTGTTATAAAGTAGTAATTTGTTAATTAAAATACAACGTTTTATTTTTACTGTATTGGCACCGCTGAATTCACGGCCTACTGTTATTTATTTATCAAGCTCTTCAAATGGAGATAGGTACATAAATACACATTTAATTTTTTCCCGTATTTTCGGCCGGGTTGTATTTTCGGCCGAGGTAGTAAGAAAAATAGTATACACTACACGGGCAGAAAGTGTGAGAGTCCTGAACTGCGCGCCATGATGCCCTCGGCTTCGCCTCGGGCATCATGGCGCGCAGTGCAGGAATCTCACACTTTCTGCCCTTGTAGTGTAATATACTATTTCTACTTTGGTATATAAAAACACTGTTTGATCATGCAAAAAGCAGTATCAGTTTTAAACGAAACTTAAACCTTAAGATTAAAGATTTAAGTTTCATAAATTTATTTTATACTTAATATACTATTCCGGGTACCTATTTAATGTATATGTACCCGGAAAAGGTATATTGGGACTAATTTATAAGATTTTGATGCAAAAAGCAGTATCAGTTTTAAACGAAACTTAAACCTTAAGATTAAAGATTTAAGTTTCATAAATTTATTTTATACTTAATATACTATTCCGGGTACCTATTTAATGTATATGTACCCGGAAAAGGTATATTGGGACTAATTTATAAGATTTTGATTTAAATTTAACATGTGAAGATAATAAAAGTTTGAATAAGATAACACACGGTTCGCCAGAAGGAAGTTTAATTGAAAATGTGTTATCGCCTCAAAATTCATTTTAATTATGATTCCTAAATAAATTAGAAATATTTTGACGTACTTTTTAAAATCAGTTTACGTGGCCGATATTTAGAAAATTAGGTTTGAATGACAAAAAAATTCATTGTGCATCAGCATTTATTGAATACCTACAGAAATATAATAAAAAAATAAGAAAATAACTGTCTATTTTCTAAATAACATTTGATATAATGTTATTAAACACATTTAACAATTTTGCTTAAATAATTTTAAAAGTAACACATGAACAGAACCAAAAAATATATTTTTAACCTATATAAATATACAAGACATGTTTATTAATTTAAACACGTAAACAAAATTGTATTTAAGGGTATCAGCATGTATTTCATTCATAAATATTATAACAACCGACAGTATAATTATCATAGCAACAATAAATAATATATTATATACACAAAATGTAGAAAAATTTGACAAGATATAATCACCTATCCTTGTCCCACCGGCCGGCCGCGGCCTTAATATCGCTTTTCCACCACTTGAATATGTTTCTGACATTTTACCAATAAAAATGTCTTAAAAAGTCTTCACATTCACAAAATTTTAAATGATGCAATGTCGCAATAAACGAATCATAAACTTTGAATATTTTAAATATGTCAAAATGTTGACATTTCAGCAAAACAAATGACTATTTTATACTTATAATAATGACATTCAAATATTCTGTCACCATAGATATTAAAAAATAACATTTTTTATTACATAGTACTAGGTATTAATAATATATTATCTTGTTATAAAAATTATTTAGATTTTGTAAGTACATTTACTTGTATACAATTTGCGGAATTTTAAACCATACAATATCTTGTAGGAAATTTTGTATCCTACCTTATGTACCATTTAAAAATGAAAACCCGTTCATCAAAGATAGAAAAAGAATGTGAGTGTATTTTATGTAATAAAATTAGATGTAGACAAGATAATTTTGATGCAGATAAGTAGGCGATGATGAAGACAAGTAGGCGATGCACGAAGTGTTTTACTTTAATAGGCAAAGAGGTAAGTCATAAGTGTAACTCAACTACATTCCTAAAAAATGTTCGAGAAAGTATCAAAACCCAAAAGCAAAGTGAACATTTGATTTCTGGATTATTAGCAAAAAAAAAATTTGAAAATAAATCCTTCCAGAACTGCATATTTTATTAGGCTGTGTTAACACTCTTTATGGTATGCTACAGCATGGATAAACTGTATCCCGATATTGCGACAAAATGGGCCCAGCAAAGTAACATTGAAAGAAGTTACACCAATGGTGGTAAATTTTCGTTTGCAGGAAATGCATGTAAACATTACTCAACAATGTTGATAAACTTCAGCGGATTTGCAAAGTTAACATTGGAGGTCTAGCGGGTTCCATGGAGTACGTAGATGCTTTCAGACTGTTTAAAACAGTCGTTTACGACTTTTTTTCACTGAAGTTACGGCCAGATTTTGAACAAGATATTGGAGAATTTAAAAAAGTTACGAACTTTAAGGAATTTCAGTAACACCAAAAGTGCACACAATTTTTTAACACGTAGCACAATTTTGTTCAAAACATCAGATGGTCCTGGGATTTTTTGGAGAGAAAGCTACAGAATCTGTGCATCATGATTTTAACGAAAAGTGGAAAAATTATTAGGTATCGAAATATAACAAAAATTATACAGCGAAACTTCTTCTTTATACTATTTATGTATTAACATTAATTTGAATGTTATTTAAAAGGGATACAGTTGTTTTTTTATTTGTTCTTATATTTTAGTATTGAATAAATGCTGATGCCTAATGAAATTCTATTTTTTCATTCAAACTCAATTTTCTAAAAATCGGCCACGTAAATTGATTTCAAAAACTATATTAAAATATGTCTAATATATCTAGGAATCATAATCATTGAAATGAATTTTGAGGCGACAACACATTTTCAATTAAACTTCCTTCTGGCGAACCGTGAACAGTTACTGTTTAACTAAAATGGCTAATCATACAGTTTTACAAATAGTAATATCTGTAAATCTGATAATTTTAGTCCCGTCAGCCTTCACCTGTCCCTGAAGTATAACAAACCATACAATTTAAAATTTAAAAAGATAAAAACTGACATAAATGTTTTATATAGACTTTAGAACTCGACAATTGGCAAAAAGGTAACATAAATGTATTTTTTTATAAATTTGCGCAAAAATTAAAATTGTGATTCTACTAAAAAAATTATTGTTATTATTATTATACAATAACATTTTTTCTAAACCTCACAACTAACGAAGTTAAATCAATTTTTTATAGCCTTTTTTCTAGCGTACTGATTTACTTTGCCACACTTACAACTGATGTTCCTTTGCATCCTTGGTCCAAATTATACTAATACTTCCTTACAGCCAGGGGCCTGAGCTGCCCTTTACCTTTAAAAAAGGCCCATAACTTTTTTCTTAATATTTTTTCTGAATTTTGAAGATGTACACTGTACATTGTACAGTTGAAGAACATAAGAAAATATTTGAAAAAGGTCCACTTCAACTATCACGATAAAATAAGCTGTTTAAAAATAATTGAGATAATCATTTCTTACTCTATGAGTTACGTCCTCCAAAAAAATAAATTGGACCATTTATTTTTTGTGTAAAGAAGTGTGGCCCAATTAAGTGTTCTGCTATTGTTCCGGGTCAGACATTTACAGTAAACCTATTTTGATAACCATGTGTTACCCCAAGTGAGGATTTTTATCACATCAATAATGTTCATTTTAAATATTGAATAAAAGAGACAACATTTTAATTGTCATTTCTCATAGTATTGCAAAAATTCACACGAGCAACAGAATCTTCAGTAGTTGGTGCTGAAACTTTTTGGTAATGGAAGGGATAAGAAAGTTGCTCGTTTACATTTTCATTTACCGAACTCTTCGGAATATCTCCCTGAATAGCAATAATTGCAATTATTGATCTCACGCTTATGTTGGGATATTCTCAAATAAATTTTAAAAAGGTTCTTTTGCTTCAACAGTTCTAGTTCTTTGCGGACCTTATTCCTTATCAATTAGAAATGTCTCTTAGCGACGCGTTGTGTATGACTGTAATTTTTTCCTAAGCCTTCCTAATTTTAAAAAATCAGTGCGCCAGCTACACCTTTACAATAATGCATGTCACGTAGTTGGATGTTAGTATAAGTAAAATTATTAATCTTGTCTTATGAATTTTGAAAGATACATGAATCAAATCTATCAAATTATTTTCTGTCCAAGTTAAATTCAAAGTAAACGTATTTTGCCTAGGCAACCCCCGCGGTTGATCTTAATTTATATCTAATTTGAATCAAGGATGCAAAGGAACATCAGTGGTAAGTGTGCCAAATTTTAAGAATATCCTTAAGCTAAATACAAGTTATAAAAAAATTGAGTTTAAAAAATCAACGTCAAAGACCTATAATTTAATATTTGTACGTGACGCGCTCTGAGGTAAGGGACCTAAGAGTCCAAAAATCGATTAATGATTATGATCGTTATAGATTAATTAAAAACTTTTTTTTAATTATCTGAGCTTAAAAATAAATTTCACTTATGCATTGTTGCACCAATGTAGCAGGTAATGAATTAATATATGCATATTCCACACAAATTCCACACCTGTAATTTTTAACCAATCAAAACGTGTATTTTTGACGGATCACCATGGCAACAGATGAATTTAAGTGGAAATTTTTTGACGTTTATAATGACGTTTATTTTTTTGACAATCTGGTTTTTATTTGTTTACATGATAATTTTGATATATTTCAATTACAAAGCTAAGATGTTTTCTATATTCTTTGGACACCTCCTTTCTTCTTAATGGCGAAAATGCAGGACTTGGAATGGAATTAATTAAATGTCTATGTCTAATGAAGTATATATAATATTTAGACACTATTCTGTTCACCTTTTTTCCATTTAGCACTTTAAATTTTGAATAGTTTAGATGCAAATATTCTTGAACAATTCGAAACAAATTTTCTTTCTTCAAGTAGGAGCCACAATCCTCTATTAATGCGGGTAAATAAGTCATCGCACGATGATTGATAATTACATCAGACAATTTCATGCATATTTTGCATATAGTATGATTTTCAAACAGATTCATTTTTAAAACAAAAAATGTTGTTGGTTTTACTGCACAATACGCTAAAGAAGTATCGCTAGTAGCGCCACCACTCGGCTGTTATCATCGTAACAAAAGTAGAACTTTTAATAATCAGCTGTCAAACGCTTAGGTTACAAACAAGTGTTATTCTCAAAAACACTTGTTTGTAACCTAAGCCGGAAAATGTAATGTGTAAATATCGAAAAAAAAACCGTGGATCGATTTGTTGTGTTGTTGGGTGTATTTCGAGAGGAAATCCTGGGTTGAATTTTTACCGGTTTTCCAATAAACAGTGTTAATCTGAATAAAGAAATAAATTGCATACAGTCTCTGTAAATATAAATTGTACCTATTAGATACAATATACATTTTAGTAGTGATTAACGTGAAAAGTGTAAACATTTTAATTCAGTAAAAGTCGTCTAAATTTAAACAGCATTTGGCATTATTAAAAGAGTTCATTAAGAATTCTTTAAAAACTCCACTCAACGGTAAAATACCATTATATTATGTATTATATATAATATTATGGTGCCATGAATTCGTAGGTATATTTTGTTGTTTAAAATGCAGTTGTCGGCGTTTTTTAGAGAACTCAAATATAAAAATGATTGATATTAAGGTTATGTTTGTGCAAAAATTATTTTTTACTAATTTCTTAAAAATGTCCAAACTTAAATATAAATTATATTGGGTAAAGTTATGATTAATTAATTCTGCACCAACAAATGTACTTACCGAATTGGATCCTTTGGCAACATGAAAATAAAACGATTTAGTTCTTGAATTTTATTTACAATTAAAAACACAATAATTCACCATGATCCCTTTGATAAAATACACACACTAACGTAACTATATAAGCATTTAAGCGTTGAGTTTCTTAATCAATGATATAAGGAATAATAAATCGAAATCGAGTACTAAAAAAGTTTTTTAATATTTTCCTTGCAACGTAAAACACAAATAACGTGCGCGATTTAGCTGTGCCTTCCCCCCTTTTGTAAAAAACTACCTATTTATTTAAAAATGATGAATAATCGGTGCTTTAAATTTATTGTTGACAATTCTTAAATTCACGCAATGCATTCGAAGTCCACCAGATGGCGCGCGCGTTGCGAAAACCCTATACTTCTTTAGCGTATATTCTTTATTACAACAAAACGCCAGTTTTTCTGATGTTTTGAACTGACAAAATACGATGATCACAGCTTCCTGACGCTGCACACTGGTTAAGAAATTAATACCAATAAAGCGCGTATGAAAAGTTAATAAAACGCAAAAAAGCAATTTTCTACCACTTGTAGTTACTCAAAACTTATGTAAAATTAAAGAATATACTGTGTTGTGTCTTGAGATTGTATTTTCGTGCAACTACAACAATATAAAGGTCTAAATGCAGCCAAAACTGTGACGCGCTGTAAATCTGTTCATGCTCGTCTTCGACTCGGCATAATTTTCAAGTTCAAGTTTAGTTCAATTTTTTTTAATTTACAATTTTCTGCATTTTAGTAGGTATTTTAAATTAATAAATATTCCGCTTGTAAATATAAACCAGATAATTTTCATTCAAGTTTATTGAATAAATTCCACTTGTACTTCAAACTCGTGAAATTATAAACAACTGCCCTTTTATGAAAATTATTGTTAATTTTTAGGCACTTGGGGTATTACCAACAACACTTTGCATGTAACAAAGCGTTAAAAATTCTCCGTTTGTGTTGCTGTCTAGCTATAATTATGAAAAATTAGTATAATGATTGTTATAGATTTATAAACGACTGCTCTTCAATTATTTGTATGTGTGTGTTTTAGCCACGCAAATTGTACCTACTAATTATAACACACACATTTTAAAATCTGTCTATTCAATTATGTTTTACCTAATTGTAGCATTAAGGTGACAAATTGTTAATGCGTTAAACATTCTCCATTTGTGCTGCCGTCTAACGTGCTCGCCTGGTCTTTCCTTTCTCCTTTAAAATTATCGCTGGGTCACTTTTCTCGGAGCGCCTCGTCACATATATAAATTGGTCTAGAATTAATTGCAGACATAAAGACATAATACACAAATTTAACAATTTTATTTAAAATTTTGTTTTAATGCAAAATTATTTTTCTTGTAAGGACATCCTTTATAAGATAACTATTTCATTTTAGACTTTTATATCATGGAAGACCAACATATCAACATTTACCAAATATATGAGATTATTCATCAGTTCTATTGTATTACCGCTTTTTATAACGACTTTGACCTCAGCCAATTTATCGATGAGAAAATTTCATGGAAAAGACAAACTGACGTGGGGTAAGAATGATGGGGGTTATGAATTGCATTTAGTTTCTACCTTTACTGAATGGATAATGGCAATTTCTTTAAACCTTTACGTTTTAACTTATACAAACGAATTTAAAAACGTAAAATATGATGGAGTAGGATTCAGTGCACGTACACGTAAAAGAAGTATAAATATATAAAAAGAATACTTATAGGAAGGACTCCCTATATAAAAATTAATTAATCAAGCTCGAATATATGTATGTACTGAAAACAGTAAGGGTATTCATTTATTAAAAAATTCAATTTCGATTCTCATACAGTATAATCTAGTGAATTTGCTATGCACAATTTCCTTTTACGTGTATGTGCACGTACACGTAAAAGGAAATTTTTTAAATAATATTGTTGAGCAAATTTAATGTTATGCAACAAGAAACCAACCCTTACTTTTTGCAAACTATGATTATTATTGCCTACTCTCTAGCCAGGCCTACGCGATGGAATAAAATTTGGGGAGGGGAGTGTTGGTAAAAGATAAGAGTAAAATGATGGTATAAAGATCATAATTGTTAGGATTTCTAAAAAATTTCAAAACACAACTGTTTCTCCCACTTTGGGTTCAAATCACAAATCCTCTCCTGTCTGTGCCCCTGCTGTTGATGCAATCATGCAGCTTGGATCCAAGCTCGAGCTATGTTGAGATTTATAAAGTAGGTTTGCAGAGTTCTGTAATATTTTGAATATTTTAAATTATTATATCCGCATTTTGTATAGCTTAAAAATATTTTTAAAAGGTGGTCCTACATGCCCCCATTACATTAATACATTTATCTCATTTGATTTATTTTTGAGGGTTGGTACCCTGTTGCATAACCCCATTTTTCCTACCAGACTTCAATTTGTTGATAATAATAATTTAATGGTATTATGCAACAAGAAACCTAAATTATTTTTAAATTGAATACAATGCATAAATTGTAATTGTAATTGTATTAAATTATATAATAAAAGCTTTAATTCTAAATTAATTTTTGTTTTTAATATATTTCTCCCTTTTAGATTAAGTCGGTGTATATTGTTTCAAAGTCCAACATGTTGGCAAATAAATACTGCCATAAAATACAAAATAAAAAAATTTGCAGTTATGGCGGTTTTGAACAACTTGACGAAAATGGATTTAGCGATCTTTAAACATATCGAATGATATGTTTGTAGCAAAACACGGAAATCCACCCATTTTGTATGTTTTATGTATTCTCTAAATACCTCTTGTGCTTAAAAATGAATCAGATAATTTTTAAGCACTCGTGGTATTACCCCCAAATATTGGGTTATTAAGAATGGCGAATAATATTGTATTTAATTCTGTTTTAAGACCTTAAGAAATATTATATTTATTGCACATAGTAAATATACGTACACTATAAAAAGGGCATCAATAGAATTTTGTTAATTAACACAAAAAGTATCAAACACTGTATTAAAACTATTTAACAACCTTACTTGATTTTGCACAGTTATATTTTGTATTTTTGAACTATAACCCTTCAAATTCCCTATTTAGATTCAAATCTTTGGACTTTAGACTAACAGATATACCCTTAAAATTAATTTCTTTAAATTCTTGTGAAAATAAAGATAAGTAGCCCAAAATAGTAGAGGCACAAATCCACTCTGTCACTGTACTTATTATATGAATATCATAACCCCCATCTTCTTCTTTCCATTTTGTTAAATACTCCCCTAAAAAATAATAATAAAAAACTAAAATTTATGTAGCATAAAGTTACCTCTAAATTGTGACAATGATATTAATCCAGTACAAAAAAATATTATAAAGGATGCTATCGAAACTACCGTAGATACTTTTTGCAAATTTCTTGTTAGATTACTGCTAAAAATCTTGTTTTCCTTGAAAGCCATAATATTCTAAAAAAAAAATCATGCATTAAAAATTAATCTTTAAATACACAGACAGGTCAACCATTTTGTCTTACTTTTATTTCAGTCTGGGGAATTAAAACATTAAAGGCCCATACAAAAATTTGTTCCATTTTAAAAATACAAGCAAAGGAAAAACTGTACAAAAGTGGATTGTTTTGTAGTATTTACTCTAACAAGTATTGTGATAAACCCGTTTTTTCCATATTCAAATTCATAAATATTGTTTTGAGTCAAAAACTTAAACCAAGGATCATTGGTAATGTATGTAGCTATAGCTATGAATCCTAATTAAACCAAAAAAAAAAATTTACAGATTCATAAAGATATTCCCAAAATAATTAAGTAATCGATTATCTCCTAGGCTGTAAAAATAATTTAGACCAATCAGGTGAAGTTGTTTAAATCCTAGTCTATAAAGCAGTGGCGGCTCGTCGTATAAAGCAACTGAGGCCGGGCCTCATTTGAAATTTTCGATACATTACTTATTTAAATATAAAACGTTTTAAAACTAATTTCCAGTCATTAAAAGTATCAAAACATAGAATAACCATTAAAGTTTAAAATATTTCCTTTAAATTTAGCGCGCACCCCTTCCAACTTTAATTCTAAACGCTTAAATCATTGCCCGACTGCATAATAGGGAAATAGTAATCCCATAAATTTGCGCTTCATATACGTCACACATTGCCGATACAACATGATGCTCCCCACCGCTGCACGGTGCCACCGGCACCTCCGCAAGGCGGGGATAATACGCGAATTTATGTAAACATTGAGGCCCACAAAGTTGGGCTTGTACCACAGTATATGGAAGACAGCGGAGTCAGTCCCGAGATCTGTGCGGCTCGCTTATCAGCCGCTGTAAAAGACTGGGCGGGGAATGTTATAGTAAACAAAGCTTATTAATTAGATCTATGCGTGTTTATAGTTTCTTATTTCTGTTTAGTCTTTGCCTTGCGTTAAAATGGAAAGTGGTGATAAAAATGCAAGCGTAAAATACATTATTGTGTTGTGAATTCATGTAAAAATAATTCAAATAATTATAAAACATAATTTTTATTTGAATATTCTATTATATTAACACACAAATACCACAGTAAAAATCACAAAAAATATAAATAAAAATATTCATGTTTTTTTTATAGTTCAGTGTTAAATGGTTGAGTTTCATATACCTACTGTGCTTGTACATTATTATTTTGTTGTTGTGCGGTTGTGCCTTTATTAATCTAAAAATAATTATTGTAAGATAGCTAAAAATGAGCAGTACCTCCTGGGTAATGTGGAAACCTGCTGAAGGAATAAATAAAAATCCCACCTCGTCCCGCACTTTTTGTATTATTCTAGCTACACTTGAAAATTTTTCTCGAAGAACATATTTTTAAATAATATATTTTTATTATTTAGATTCTGAAGTGCTCCAAAAACGCGAGACTATGGAATTTTCAAAAAAAATTGCCTGCGGTGCCATATAGCGGTTCATGGGCCTCACCTTCATGAATGGTCACGAGCCGCCACTGCTATAAAGAACCAATAAAAACGGTTGACAGTTCTGAACTAACTAACCTTACTCTATAATAATATAGGTACATTATAATTTTACGTAGCTATTCGGCTGAAACCTGTATTTTGTGATTTACTTAAACTTTGAGCTCAGCACAAATAGATTGAAATAAATAACTATTTTTAGACAAAGTTTAAAGTGGTGTTACGATAACAATTTCTGTTCGATACTAATGAAATTTTTAAAATTTATATCATGATATATGTACATGTACTTTAGTTATTGTAGCGAGTACCGCTCTGGATCTCGGAATGATGATTCATCGGCGATGAGTCATCGCCGGTGAGTGATCGAGAGAGGTCCCGAGCTCGCTGGAATATTCGAGAATGCACGTAGGCACTGAATATATAAGAAACAGCGCAGCATGGAGCAGTTAGTCAAGCTTTGGTACTCGCGAATAAATAAATATACGTGCAAATAAATAGAATCTTGTACAGTGGTGATATATAAATAACTAATAGTTAAGTGTTTAATTAGTTTTATAGTTTCTTTAAGAAACTTTCTTAGTGTTTTAAGTGTAATTTAATTATAAAATAAATAGTTTAGTTCGTTAATAAACCAGTGCGTGTTTTTATTCACACCATAGTGTGTATACGAACATAGTGTATATACGAACAGTAAAAACGTTACATTATATTAAAATTTTAACGCAATCAAATAAAAATGGTCAAAATGACACTTACATCAACTGCGCGTGTCAACATAGCTACGGTCATATCTGCCACTGGCGCGTGTACTACTACTCCTTAAAAAAATCTTTAAACAAAAGTATTAATAAATTGTTTAATAATCTAATATTTATTTAAAAAAATCGTACCTATGCAAGAACGTTTTGAATATTTTAACAGTGTCATTGTGTTTTGTTTTAAAACTCGTATAATACGATTTTTAAAAGTAGTAAATTTAAATATGTAATTATTACGAGTCTTATAATAATTAATACATATTTTAAAGCATACCAGGATGCTTTTGAAATTTCAAAGGCCACAATGACACCTACACATCCCATCAGATTGGGTCTGGCACTAAATTTCTCAGTTTTCTATTATGAGATTTTAAATTCGCCCGACAAAGCTTGTCAGTTAGCGAAACAGGCCTTTGATGATGCAATAGCAGAATTGGACACATTGAACGAAGATTCATATAAGGATAGTACACTCATCATGCAGCTCCTCAGGGATAACCTCACACTTTGGACAAGTGACACACAGGGTGAGGCAGATGAGCAGCAAGAAGCTGGTGATAATTGAAGTGTGCGTCCGTTTTTAAAATTATTCGTTAATAATGAAATTTCATGTAAGTTAACGTTCTTGTGGAACTTGGTTGTGAAGTTTCATTGACAGTTTAAGTTTCAGAAGAAACTTTTGATATTTAATAATGTTTTTAGGCGATATGTAAAATCGTTAAATAATTTCATGTCACACAACCAGCTATAGCTTATAATTTCCGCAACAAATTACTTATTAAGCCATATATTTACTACTTTTTACAAAAGTCCAACAAACGCCAGGAGCGAAATTTACTGTAAATATAACTTTTGACACGCACGGTTGTTTTAAGTGCTATTTTGTCAATTTTTATTTAATTGAGTTAAAATTTTAACATAATAAATTGGCCAAAAACGATTTTATTTTGTTAAAAACATGGTTTTACAGGGAAAAAACAATATAAATGTGTATAATTTATATAATAATAATAATAATAATAATAATAATAATAATAATAATAATTTTATTATGCAAGGTGTCCCTAAACTTATTGGCATAAATTTAGAAAAAGATTGTCAAAGTAAAAGTTAAAATAAGTCAAAATAAGACGAAAACCCAAATAAATATTTTTCCTAATTACTTATGTTTCCAAGATACAGGGTGATAAAGTGTTACTTATCATATCAGTTTTTTTAATATAACCTTTACCATGGTAGTATTGGAAAGGTTATATTTAGTATAAAAACCTAATCTCAAAGTTTGTATGGGACAATAAGCTTAAGCAACCCCTGCTTCTACGACACTGTGTTCACTTGAACAATTGTAATTATGTGTGAATATGTGTTTTGGTTGTAAGTGACTGTTCGCAAAATATCACCTTTCCAAGTCTACCATAATAGAAGTTATATTAAAAAAAATTATATGATAAGTTACACTTTATCACCCTGTATCTTTTAAACATACGTAATTAGGAAAAATATTTATTTAGATTTTCGTCTTATTTAGACTTGCTTAGTCTGCTCCTAAATTTATGCCACTAAGTTTAACACCTTGTATATAAAATTTACAAATTTTTAATATTTACAAAATTTACGTTTTCAAAATTTACAAAAATTACAGAAACTAGTCAGTAACTTATCAGTAACTATAGGCAGCAGTGGCGGCTCTACCTAAGGTTTGCAGGTTTGCACAACCCCCAAAAAAATCACCCAAGAAGGAAGAAATAAATTATGATTATAATAATATCATCGATATATATTTTTTTTAATTTCTTAGTAACTTTCTTGTTATAACACTATAGTTTCCAAGCAAATAATTAAATTTCCCGCTTGGCGCTTCGTATCGGTTCATTGATCGATGCCCGAATACCACGCCATCTAGTGTATAATTGTTGAGGCTAACGGGTTTGTTTTAAGGTCGCAAACCATTACAGGCTTTCGAATGGGCGTGTTGGGACCACGTGATTAAATTACGTTCAATATCATTGGTTTAATTAGATCGAAAGTGGTTGCAGGACAAATGCAACATTTAGTGTGAAATTCACACTGTGAATCGTTTTACGTATTTTTGCCGGGCCGCGTTAACATTTCCGCTGCGTTTTTATTATTGTTTGTAGGTATGTATTTCTTATAATAATAATGATTAATTCAGTTGAAAGTTTATTAGAAAATCCGTTTGGTAGTCGGTCGATCGATATAAAGAGGCTTGGAAGACCTACAACAAATTTAAACATCGTTCAATGTGTGTCCAGTAAAAGCCGGTCTTTTACTAGAAAATTTAATTTAGATATACATATATAATAAACAATATGTTAACTTAAAACTCTAATAGTAATTAATATTTTAAATTTAAATTTTATATTTTTATAATTTAAATTTTTATGACCCAATTTATTTTTTAAAGCGATCTTGGTTTTGCACATCTCTTGTAATATCTACACCTATACATATGGGTGCAACCCCAGATTTTTTAGGTCACGAGCCGCCACTGATAGGCAGTAATTACTTAATAACTAGACAGTAACTAGTCACTATGTAACTTATTAGTAACAGGGATATTTTTTATAAATTTGTAACAAAAAATAATGAAATATGGAAATTAATAATATATCAGTCCAAAGTAATTATTAGAGTACAATAACACGTGTACAACAGTCGTTAGTATTGACTCTTTAGTTACACTTATCCATTACTCTCAAACTCAAATATTATCAT